CATCTTGGCATGTACGGATGTGTGTGTAGTTAGAGCTGTAATTGAAAAAACGCCGAAATTTAAAACAAAAAAAGAGCAAAACAAAATGATAAAAAAAAAAAAAAAAAACTAGACAAAAAATGGAAAATGGAAGAAGGAATGAACAGAAGTCCTGACTTTAACCGTTTCAAAATGTACATGACATATATTGAGTTGTATAAGATCTTACAACTACAAACTACGGACATGATAGCATTGTTATTATCTATGGGCAAAGTGTTTAACGTGTTCATTGACCGTCCATCACGAAATACGTAGTAACTACTGGGAATTGTTTCCATGACGCTATCAGACAATTCGCCATGAACTATCATGTGCCATGCGGCTTAAGACACAAGTTTATGGACACAGTCATAAAAACATTATAGATTCAGCCGTATCTACCGGTGGCACAAATGTCAGATGGGCTATTTCTGGTGATCCCTAATCAAAGGAACAATAGACAGTCACGACCCTGAGCACTTTGATGCTGCGAATTCGCGATAGATATTGCATTTTTCCTTTGTAAAGCAGCGTATATATACCAATGCTGCAGTGCGTGTATAGTAGAACTGTGGTTTTAGAAAGCTGGGTTTAATGTAGATGTGAATTTAACAACAGAATGTGTAGAATGTACTATATGTACTATCTTCGAAGGTCTATATGTTCATCACGTATTCTCTCATTGAAAAAATGTCTTATTTTGTTTTACACGTGTGTACTGTCACTTTTGAGGGGAAAAAATGATGATGATTATGATGATGATGATGATGATGATGATGATGATGATGATGAACATGAAGATAATGCTGATGCTGCTGATGATGATAATGATGATGATGGTGATGATGATGGTGATGTGATGATGATGGTATGATGATGATGATGATGATGATGATGATGATGATGATGATGATGATGATGATGAAAATGTCAGTCTATGAGGAATTTAATTCCTTTGCCCTTTCTCGTGTCTGTTTTCTTAATTTGCCTTCACTGTTTGATTCCAAGATCTTTAATTATTGGTAATTAGTTATTTGACAAAGCTACATATAAAGCATGGTACGACAATGATATGTTTTTTGTCACGTTTCTATTAAGTATTTCACCATCGTTATAACAATTTTACCGTACTTATGTTGCATCGGTCAAAACACGACGTTATGTTAAAAGTCATTGTCAGTAAGCAACTTACAGTATCATGATATACTTTTAAAATCCCGTTGGGGGTAGGATTGATTTTAATTCTAATTTTAGTTCAAAACGAATTTTGGAATGTTAATATTAGAAAGTTTGAATTTTGCATACGTTTTACAGCATACAAGTTATCTCAAGTCTGATGCTATTTGGGGGGAAAATATCAGACTTCTAATAAAAAAAAATCGTTACTGCATACCTATATCAATAACACTCTTTCATTTGAATTATGTAAAACAATTAGGTATCTTTCAAAAGCTGCCCACGAATTATTGGAAGATATCACGTTGTTACAATGTCTTATTTCAATTAAGCGGTAGAAAATGTATAAGAGTTGCCTCCCTTTGGCCATTTATGTTAGGAATCTAATGTTCATTACAGCGTGTACGAATTACGTCCCTTTAGTCATTTGATATAGAAGTCTACAGTTTTAGAGAAAGGATTTTGGCCAATTGTCGAACGAGGTAGAGTATGGGTGAGATTCGCTATCTCACCAAAAACTCCGTGCGTACATCAAACATACATCGATTGTACACACACTATATGGAGCCTGATTTCTGGTGGACAGTACATTTTGTGCGCTTGGGTAAAAATGTTTGGCTAATATTACATATTTAAAGTTAAACAGAAAACTCATTTTGTTACGACTGAATACCGATCACCGACATTGTACAACTAATCAGTGATCATAAAAGTATTTTTTGAATCTACAGCTTTCGAAATAACACTGAACCCTGCTTAAAGTAGTCTTTCTATCATATATCTATCTACCTCAGAGAGTGGTGTGCCTCGAGCGACAAAATACCTGTTTACGGGTATATATATGACATGTCCCAATGACTTGGTCCCGGTGTAATAAAAACAACATTTCAGATATAACGGAGTATATGGTTTTGTTTACAAAATGATAGAAAATGTAATGAAAATTAAATTTCCTTTCTGACGGTATGAGATTTTAGACGATTCGTTGCCGGGACAAAGAGAGACGTGAATGTAATGTTTTCATATATAATGTGTCTGTACACAAAACAATTACGAATATATATTACAAATATAACTAGCATGTGTCCACACCATATATATATGTCTTAATAAGGAAATATACCTACATGTACTTATATATATGTAGAAAATGATTAAACTCTATCCCACGCTTATCTATAAGTCATTTCTAAATTTATATCTACCACGATAGAATCAAACATCTGTGCGATAGAACCGCCCGATGTGCGCGCAATTGTGCGATAATTTATTTCATCCAGCTTTCCTATCGTGCGATGTGCGATCCCGCAACTATGGTAGCTAATAGCTGACATTTCGTCTTATCGTTTTGTGACTCACGCAAACACGGTGGGCGAAAAGACGAAATCACGAAAAAAAAACAAAAAGATGAAAACCCGCCAAAGCGAAAAAACGAAAACTACACCTAACTCTTACATGTATTTTCATAACGTGACTGAAAAAAACGAAGAAATACCATGCTTCATTGTCTATGACGGTACAACACCGAACCAGTCATATCAATGCGATCAACCATCAGTTTTTGTGTTCTTAAAGTGAACGCATTTTGGTGGGCGTGGCCATATCTCTGCCGGTATCGTATTCAACCTTTAGTTACGCTCACAGAACAGATCCGATGACTTAGAGGACTTTTCATCATTCATACATGTCATGAATATATATAAGAAACGTAGGAGATGCAGCCCAATCACTCAGGAGTAAAGAAGTACGGACGATTGCCACCACATCTCAAGCATATTAGGTGCCGAAAGAGTTGCAACGTTTGCGAAGATAGTGGGAAAACAAATCTTGTGGCAATAGAACGCAGTACACAGTTTATCGGTGTGGCCATGGGTGATATTTTTGTTCATTAGATTACCCCATTATAAAGGTTTTAATAAAAAAATCTAAAGGAAATCTTTGCTATAATTGGTCTTGTCATGTTGAGGTGGACAATGTGGAGTTTCGTATTTTTTTTTCAGAATAATATCTTAACTTTATGTTGGAGATTGCTATTTAGGCAGTCTCCAATCTGTGTCTACGCACCAAAAACCAGCTTTACAGGAAGTGAATTTTTCTGATGTTTACATGTGGTCATATTATGAAGGATTTCAGAGTTAGAGTTTGTTGAAATGTAAGTAGTTTGTTAACAGGACAGTGTTGGCGATTTTAAGATTTTTAAGATGTTGATTTCATCTAAAAAGTTGTAAAGTTAGGTTAGAATTAGCATTTTTAGCATTTACTCAGTAGGTAACCAAGGCAATAACATAACAGAAATCAGAGGAAATGTTTGATTTACACAGATTTTCTTTCTCCGCTGTTAATGTAATTGCTATGTAGTTTATACATGTAATTATGTATTTTTCATAATCAAACTGCTATATCTGTATATCTCAAACATGACCAATAATTTCAGGAAAATGCGACTTAACTGTCTCTTGCTACCTTATCCTTCTGGAACACTCTCTTTTGTCATTCATATACTTTCGTAGGAGTGTCTGTAAATCTTTCATTTGCTCATAGATCTTGCTTTCTGGAATACATATAGTTATTTTTGAGATGATGTTGACGACAAAAATGACAATAATAACGAATAGTGAACCCTACTTTAGAGGCCTGTTGTTACTGCCAGACCCCGTAGGTTGATGGATCTATGGTATTTGAGACATTTGAATTAGAATTAATATCTAATCAGAAACTCGACTTTATAGATCAGAGGTACTATTGATCTGTCTGGATGAAATATCTTGATATTCTATCATATATTTACACAGAAAACCTTGTAATACGATACTAACAAAGTATAGACACATGTTATTCGTGTTTTCGTAATGACACTATCATATTCAAAGCTCCCTTTTATTATCCTTATTACTGTTATCACATTCTGAACGGCCCGTCAACACATAAATGGTCATTAGGGTCATCAACTGGTGAAACACCCAGCGATCCAATAAGGAAATAACATCAAACAAACTAAAAAGGTAAAACACACAAAATATATCTGATAATTTCAAAAGAATTGCACGTGCATGTGTATATATTTCCTTAATCTGTATCCCTTGTTTATTTATGGAAGATTGTATTAGGATAATCCATTGCATTCACTAGACTAGTACTATGATTTAACTTTACTCATTTTCTTGGCGTTATAATTGAACCTGGTTGTTTTCTTTCTCTCCGTTTTCCTTTCGATGTCAAAAGTTACACTTGACAACCTTTACAATAAAATACCTAAAGTAGATATATGTTGATCCCATTAACAGATTTAGATTATATTCAAAATATACACACTATCGAGATGTACGCGTAGTTAGATTTTGATCACTGGTCAAGAGTAAATGGCCACTTTTCACACTCGACTAAGTGACGATACAATGTTTGTGGGATTCGGGGAATACCTGCGCGAGGCCTGGCCCAGTTTGATTTCATTGTTCTTGTCTGCTCCGCCTACAGGAAGGTTAATTACATCCTTCTTTCACTGACAGTACGTTCATACAAATCATCTCTATTGTTTCAATCTTGCTTTGCATTTGATTCATAATAAGCAACAATTTCCCAAGAAATGATACTGTTATTCATATCTCAAATATCAAAACATGTTCTATAACATTCCATGACCTAAATACCTTTGGAGTGAAATTTACAGTGATTTTGATAAACCATAGCTAAATTGTCACCTGGCTCATTGAAGCCGATCCGACAGCTTCCGATTGTTAATGGTCAGATATTATAGACTATGATATCCCGATCGCGTAGATATCAGTGCTCGCCCCGGTATCAGGATGGATCACTCCTCGCTGTTGTTCGTACTGCTGTTTTCTCTGGTGGTTGGCACAAAGACCTTTTCGACATCTCGTTCAGGTAGGTTAACCCTGCTGTAACACCTACTTCTGTAAAAAATTAAAAGACAGTATATAGGAAATTTATTTTTGATTCCGCAATGCTTTCCTATACAATAAGCTTTGCTTGAAAAAAGGAATTTCTGACTTTAAGTAACAGTTTTGATAAAAAAATATATATATTCCCCATAAAAAACGAAATGCTTCATCAGAAAGTTAAATCTGATTTTGAAAACTGTACAAAAGATACATGTTGATAGCATTTTTCAGTACAACTTTAAAATTACATGCTGCAGAGTGAAATAATGAATTACTCTGCATCCTACAGCTATTTTGTCCAACTGTAATATCATGATATGATATATGATAGTGAACGTATTTATCATTCTGGGGTAACACAAGCATTTTACAAAGCAGATTGGCTCTTTTTTCGTCTAAAAAAACGCAATATCGTTTAGGAATGTGTTAATATTGTTAATATCAGATTAATGCGAACGAAATGCTAGAGGAAACAAATTGTTCCGAAGGAATATTCTTTTAACGCTAAAACATTTGCGTGCGCATCTGCTGTCTTCAGAAAGTTGCAGTTTTTGTATGCAAGTTCAATATGAAACATAAGAACGCAATTTTACAACCGAGAAATGATATTATGAGAGATTGTTATAGCCTGTAATGATACAAATTAACGTCCCATTTGAGGAACATAACATTACTTTGTTTTAGACACGAGACTAAAAAGACGGTACACTTCTAAAAATGCATATTCTCATTTCCCTCATTTCAACTCGTGTGGTTCTCATGTATCCTTTTTGTAGTATTCTGTTACGATTTCAATTATCTTAGATTCAAATAATATTATTGTTAATATTTGTTTTCGTTTCCACTGCTACCATCAAAACGTTCCTTTAATTTAATATCGTTTTTTAAACAGTCTTCCACGCGATACTGCCATAGACTACTTATAATATGTAAGTTTAGGTTTGCCTTAAGTATTTTGGTGCCTCCTTTTTAGGATGTAAGAACGCTTCCCTATTGCATAATCGTAAGAGAGATTAATCTAAAAGATATTTAGATTTCCTCTTTTTCTAAAAATCCTTCTCCTTCCTGATGTCTTCCCTGACACCGCCTCAACCTTTGCCTTTATTTGAACGTTTGCTCCTTTGAGAAAGGTTTTTTTGTTCTGTTCCCTAGACATACCAGATAATTTAATCTTGGCAATTATCTGAATTGAATTGTAACGACTGGTTCACATGTTTTCAGTATGATATGACAAGGCAGATTTTCCTAATGAAGATATCCTAGTAGTTAGTATATTTCAGTGTGGCAACACTTTAAAGTTGACATCAGTTCCGTAATTGCACAAAGGGGCTTGCATGAGCATATCGTAGCCTCCAAAATACAACATGTAACCCATGTACTCACCTTTCCTACATCGGAAGGCCGTAGGTAAAGGCTCATAGCTGTTAATATGACGTAAAACAATACAAACTAAACCAGATTGTCGTTAATCGATATTTAGAATTACTAAGTGATGTTATCTTCTGTTGAACTGTTTGTTAGTTAGAAAATTGATTTAAGTTTAAAATGCAGCAAGAGTGAAAGGGAATGTTTCTGATTTTTAGAAACATTATTTGCTACTCAGCATGTTGTTTTGATATGTCAGAAAGTCATCCATGAATGTAAAGCAAATGACAGTGCTTGATACTACCACGGCGATTAAAGTTATCTCCATCCCTTAAGACATGAAACTAATGTACTAGGAGTCAATGAAGTCTTTTCGTTTATTCTGTACCCAACAGAAGTCTCTCGATATCAATTCCGTACCCGGTTCTAACACACCGACAATAATAAAACCACGAGCTGCAAACGTGGTGATATATAATCACATCCACAGTTGACTTCAATAGGTCACTATCAGATCCCAAGTCTATGTTGATACATTCAGAAAATTTAATTGATACATTTAATCATTTTTGCACCAGGACATCTACAAAATGGTATAAATCCGACACGCTTTAAAAGTTTGTTGTAATTACATTTGTGGGATAAAACAACGTTGCACGGTATGTGCACAATGTGTACACGATTGTATAACCGAAGGAATTTTGCCATTGTACTCGGAACCAGGCGAGTTTTGTATAGAAAGTGTTACAGTTTAAGTGTATATATACTTATCATATATGTATACGTTAACATGAAATGGACATCTGGTTTTGTCTCGACAATGAATAATTTAAAATGTTATACAGTCAAAAGATTTCAAAGATTTGAATTTAGAATTAATATCTGCATTATTTCTATTTTCTGTTATCAAAGAACACTATTTACTCGGTAAATGTGTTAGTGTTGGTATACGTAACCGGCACTGTCACATATAAACCCGTACGTGTACAAGTAATTTTTGTTGTCCGTGGCACACTACTGGCTACTCTCTGAGATGTGAATCCACACAATAAGCAAGCTAATGAAAGCAGAGGTCGGTCATATTTCGATACATATAAAATCTAAAAATTACATTAATAATCAGAAATCAACATTTAAGACGCCCATGACCACTATTTGATCATAACTACACAAGTTCTCCGGTTTTTTTTTTTTTTTTTTTTTGCGATCCGTTATATTAATCAATCAATGTTACAAAAACCGCGGAAATCTACGATCCCATCGCACAGTTGGTCTAGACACGGTATCGAGCGTGTGTGCGGACGATTTATGCACAATGTGCGCACGAAATGTTTGAAACGCTACAATATAAAGTATATTTATCAATAGATCATTTTATAATTAATAAAGTGTAACTAAGTAATTGCTTTAACGAAAAAAGGAAAACCCGAATAAAGATTAAACTTTGACATATTTAGTATTATCAGAAGTAGTGTGAAGTACCCCTAACATCTGAAACAATAAACCTATTTCACTATGAACAAGTTATGGCAATAATTTCATATCAAACACGTCTTTAACCTTTTTTTTCTCACGGTCAGAAGACTGACGTAATAATTAAAGGTTCTTGTAGATTTGTATAGAAAATAACTCCCAGCCATCTTATCACGTTACCCGAATATTTTCTTCTCTAAAGAGTGAATCGCCTTATCCATATTACATTGTGTATGTAAATATCTATCTCATTAACAACATCCAGGTAGGACATCAATGGAAATTCGGAAACATTAATTTTTTTTATTATTATTTTAAAAAGCATAAACCCGTACCACTTTCAATTCTAACTTGCAACTTCGAGCGAAATATTGAATCCGAACTTGGTGATAAATGATGACTATAAATTACAAATATGTATTTTAAGGAACAAGGTCACATTTAAGTTATTTATTTTGTTTACTATCCGCAATAAAATCCTCAAAGTCTGTACAAAGATATCTTCAATCGTGGAAAAATTAAAAAAATATTAGACTGGAAATAAAATACAAATTTACAATAATTCTATGTTGAAAAATGTTTGTTTTTGATCAAATCAAGGAGTTCATTCATGTTTTAAAAACAATGAGTGAATTAGTCTCTTCGCAGATATTTACAGTATTGATTTGGTAATAAACCAAACGACACTCGGTTTATACGTATCATGACCGTGACCGTTTTATTTTCTGAAATCAATATCACATGTAGGGAAACGATTGGTCATTTTGTTAAATCATAAAAAATGTATTACATCATGAAATGAAATGATGACCGCAAAAAAGGGGGTGGCAAACATATATTCATTGCGAGACGGTAATAATATGTACAAACACAGAGGCGTATTTACCACACCAGGCAAGACACAAAATGAATCTTTAAAGTATAATTTCTGTTGATGGGATGTTAAACATTATAAACAAAACTAAAACGATATGAACGAATGACAATACGATCGTGACATCAAGTTAATATGTAGTAATATGTAGGTGGTATGGCAAGCTTGTTAATGCAGAGTGCTACAGGTCCTGCAGCTTTCTTTTATGTCAAACAATATCTGGTCCGAGGACCGTCAGCATTTCAAGCCCCGTGTTTACGATCAACGTCCTGTTAAAACGTTGTCTTGATTATCGTGAGAATTACTGTTATTGAACAGGAAATGATATTAGTGACTCGGAGCGGACCAAGAAACTTATAAATCTCCTTAAAGAACTTCGGGACTATGCAGAAGATGAAGAGGAGGATGATTGGCACATTGATGGAGATACCTCTCTTGATGTGAGTTGTTGAAATCCAGAGGTCAAAGTCACAATTTAGTAGATATTCTCAAAAAAATTAAGTTTTCTAAACCATAAGAAAATGAAATTTTGTTTTCATGCTCCGAAGATCTATTATTTAATTTTTCGAAGGAGTAATTGCCCTTTATTTTTTTCAATATTTAAATGATAAAGGATATCCTTTTGAACCGATTTCCTTTAAACATGGAAGGCTATAAAACCACAGCATGCAATCAGATTCTCATGACATCATTTTTGACAATATCTAAATGCTCCAAATGATAAATTAATGTATTAATTCATCATCAAAACATATATAGCTGTTTTCCCTGATGTTATTTTGAATCAATATTACCATTTTCATATTTGTTTTAATTTCGATATGATAAATCAAGAGTAAATCCTAGACATGAAACGAGCGTATATTGTTCCGCCTTGTGATATGACTATGCAGTATTGTAACTGCTGAATTACTACCGCACTGCGCGCGGTAAACAATATCCGATCTGGATTTATCGCTTCATATCGTACATAAAAAATATCCAAGCTATATGTCAGAAATACTTTTGTATCATATATCAAAATATGTATTAGTAAGAAAAGGTATGTGTTTTCTAAATTTTATATTCTTAATTCAAATATATATCTGAAAAAAATCATAAATAAGAAAGAATAAATAAGCAAAATACAAAAGATAAAATAAAATACAAAAATAAATAAATGAAAATAAAATAGATAAATATCAATAAATAGCAAAAAATAAAAGTTAATGAAATAAACGTAAGAGTAAAGAAAAAATAAACAAAGACAACATCATCCTACAATACCTGTAACCTTATTGAGAACCATTTGTACACGATTGTGTTTTATCAGAAATTTCTATCCACATTACTAGTGACGCTATTTTGATTCGATATAACAGGTACGATGTATTGTCCCCTTCTGTGTCTATCACAAAGGGGATATCGATTTCCAACAAATAGATTTGCTGCTTTTAGTATAGATATTTTTGTATACCATTTTTCAGGACGTGTTGTTCCGTGACGAAGTACGAGATGCCTTTAACGAAGACCAGGCGTCCGAAATACTATTTGATGGAGACGAGTACATTAAGGTAGAAACAATACGCAACGAAAATGTGTCCTGTTTGTTATTCATTGATGTCGGATACCCGAATAATTCGAAACAAGAAGTTCTCAAAAACAGACCCATACTGAACTTAGATCAACCCGTATTTGCTCACTATTCAAGAAAAAAGTATCCTTAATGTAGCCGTTTTATTTTCTGAAATGAAGATCTCGTATGGGAAACGACTGGTCATTTTGTTAAATCATAAACATTCTATTACTTCATGTAATGAAATGATGACCGCGAAAAGGGGGTTTTAGTTTTTAAATTTCGAAAAAAATCTGTATTACTTTCATTTCCTATCATCATAGAAAAATATTTGCCCGTTAAATGGGTTCGTGTTGTATATTTAGTTTGGTTTATAATGTTTTTCCAGAGTCTTATTTCCGAGTGTTTAGTGCACATGGCCACCATGTAACGGAACGTGACATAAAGCATTATGTTTCAACATCAAACAATTTGTTTAGCAAAACCATTGTTCACATACAAGCTTTATGTTAAGATCTTGTGATGAGTATATATTTCTACAAATATATATGTATGCATATGATGTTAAGCGATATAATGATATGCATTATGTATTTATATATTAGAGAACGCAATTCTGTTTTTTGTAGTAATTAAGATAAACAAAAATGGCAGGTATCGTCGAGGAGGTGAAATGTGCTACGCTCAGTACTCTACGATTGTCGTGTAATTCTCCCCTTTAGTAATAAATTGCATTCGTTTCACCGATTTTCAGGATAACTAATATTTTGTTAATATACCGATACATTTTTCTGGATTATCACGTGGTAAAATTTTCAGGGATATGATGCACTGACAAATTTCATCAATCTTGAAGAGGAATGGTTTCAGGAGCATGATACACATCTGGGGAGTGGATATCGTCATTCATTTGGGGTAACGTTTTGTTGTAATGAAACAATATACCTTGTAAGCAACATCCACTATACTCTATCGTATGTAACGTGTGTAAATTGGTCGGAATGATCTGTTGTGACGTCATGAAAAAATCGTTAAAAAATTAAGCACTTGCTTTGACGACGTCACAGTGACGACAAACAATAAGAGTTCTATAACCTAAAGCCTCGCATAACGTTGTGTGTTTTATACATTAATTAAGAATAGCTTAATTCAGCTAATAAAAAGAATCTTGAACTTGAGATTTAGAATGAAATCACGATGGAATTCAAACGAAAATTGAAGCACTCATTTAGTATATACATACAGAATAAAAGGAAATCGTCAGCCAGGCGTGAAAATAGAAGAGACTGGTTAACTGCTACTTACACAGCCATTTGATTCATAAGCTCTTGCTATGATATTCATTCTTTCAGACGAAAAGAAACTTTGACACAAGTGGAGGTGTTCAGCTCTGGCCAAACGCAAAGGTTCCATACACTGCACGTAACTTCAGTTAGTATTTCTCTCTATTGGCTTGTTTACATTAAACCATTGCAGGTATATTTAGTGAACGATCTTGTTTTCTGACGAACGAGACTTCTTAGAATTAAATGATCAACAGGAGAGAGATCATTTTTCATTTGAAAAGTGAAAACGGGTATCGACAATTGGTTACTCTACATCACAGTATGGCATTCCCGTACCATGCGATATATAGATAGAATAGTTTTACAGAAGATAATATTTTTAAAATCGGCAAAGATCGTTCATTTGAAAATTAAATACTGTTCTTACCATTCATTCAACAAAATCGTTACACATAACTCTTGATTATCATTGAAACAATATGAAATATCTCTGCAAACTGCAATTTATTATCCTGGTTATTTTAAAAACCAAACGAGATTAACAATACTGAATATCTCTGTAATTAAACCGCTATTTATAGTCCTGGTTATTTTAAGAATCAAATGAGCTTAATGAAAACGGAGGTCTCATTACGGGGATAATGATTTATCACGTGATATGATATCTGTTAACCTGGATGTGATATCATATGTGCTTGTGATATGTTAAAAGACGAACAGAGAAGCAAGGATGCCATTAAAAAAGCTGTGGAAATCATTGGTAAGGAGACATGTGTGGAGTTGACCGAGAGAGGTAGTACCGGTGCAGTTGACTACCTCACTTTCGACGGCAAAGAGTCTGGGTGAGTATCGGTCAGAAATATTGAATTTTTAACATATTTCATCATGTTGTGTTGTCCTTTTAGGACTCGTCAGTGATGTTAAGGACAATTTAACACAACTGATGACAAATGAAAGAAATATCCCATGTGAGTGCTTTTAACAGTATCGATTTATTGGCCATTATTTCCGATTCTCATCAAACACCAGGTATCAAAATCTTGCCTGCGATATATATTCACTGAAATGGAATGTGCTGGTTGTTTATGAACCGTAAAGTGGTTTACATTAGTGTATCTAGGTTTCGTAAGTTTAACAAATATGGGCATGCTTTTATTTGAATATTATTTCTGAATAAAATACGTTTTATTAACTAGGTATCCTGTAATAATACACACACATGCAGAAACTGGTTTCTACTTAATTGTCTTTAGAATTATTCAATGTTGTGGAGTTGTTTAATGACGTCGATAAATTTTCGTTCTCTTTGTCATTCACATCATTTGTTATCACAATGCATTGAATACATATTAAGACATTAAAAATATTGTCGGTCAAAGGTCAAGATATTATTCTATTGAAGGTATGTTTGTAATATTTTAATGGAAAATTCGTTATTATTAGTTCAGCAGTCTTATGAATTGGTTTGGTTGAAACTTTGCGAAGAATATTTCCTTTTTTATTTTGGCCAAGCCAAGTATGTATATAAGTATTTGGTTATAGGTTCACATTGCTGCTGGTTATCGATTTAATTTGATCGAATGCCATGCTATTTTGTCTATGTTACGATACCTTAGCTTGATAGCAGTATAAGTTATTATTATTATAACATTCTTAACGGCCCGTCGACATATTAAAGGTCATTAGGGCCATCAACCGGTAAAACACACAGCGATCCTAAAGGTAATAACATTAAACAAACAGAAAGGTAAAAGACAAATGTTAAAATTCTTAGATGGGTATGTTAACACAAAAGATTAAAATAGAACGTCATAGTCTATTATACAGACCAACATCTTTCAGGTAATGTAGAATTTTATAAATCTCAGCAGTTTCAAAAAGGGATTTTACTCCAATCTGCTTTATATAATTTCCAATGGGGTACATGATCGCTCTCTGTGGATCCACAATTCCGGAGAATGTTCCGGAAGAGGGATGCCAATAGTTTGTAGTTTATTATTGTAAAGACAAAGGTTATTTTCCAATATGATTTTTTCAATTTTTGTTCCTCTGTCATTAGTGTCGGGTGAACCACAAACGTTATTATGACCATTAAAGTCACCCCAATGTATGAAATGGGAAGGCAGTTGCGATAGGAGTTCGTCTAGTTGGCTGTTCGTAAAATCAGAGTTTGGAGGGAGATAGATGGAGCATACTGTTAGCGTTCTATGGAGCGTAACACTAACAGCAGTCGCCTTGAGGTCTGTATATAATGGTATGTTTCTGTGAGGAATTTGGTTGTCGACCAGGATAGCAACTCCACCGGTTGCTTTGTTGTCAACGGGACCGAAGCAATTTAACAACAAACATTTTGTTAAATTGATATATGTCTCGTCTCTGGTAAGTGTTTCTTAGAGACAGATTTCACTAGGGTTATGTTCTTGAAACAGCCGAAGAATTTCATCAATATTGGATCGAAGCCTCTACAATTCCATTGAATTATTGTATCCATTGTAACAAAAAAAGTGGGGGACCATTGATAATAGCTAGACTATTTATTCAACCTAAGTAGTTTGACAGCTTCAATAGAGATCTTGGAGGACCTGGACGTAGCTACCTGGTACTCAATATCCTCCAGAGAGCAGAATTTGTTGAAAGTGTGAATTGGGTCGTCAGACCTTTTTTCTTTCTATCTGAAGAAATTTGAATTTGCTTTGGCTGATTTTGAACTTTGTCTGTACGGGGAGCAGGTTTTGATGGAGATTTGGGTTTCTGATTCTGTTTTGATGGTGATGGTGGTGTTCGCGATGACTGTGTTGAAGAAGGCTTTGATGCAGCAGACCGAAGGCCAGAAAGATTGTCGCACGCCATGTCAGTCTGTGTACCTGCATCAAATGTCTGTGTAGTAGCATCACAGGTCTCCTCGGTCGTAATATCAATCCTTGCACGACTGGTATAGGATGGACCCGACACAGGTATTTCGGGAAAAGTGGTGTTGTTTGTGTACCAGATGAAAGATGAAGATATATTGAAGACGATTAAGGTTTGCATTGGATACAAAATCAGTAACGGAGTAAAGTCGTGATAAAATAAATGTCGGGCATTTGTTTAAAAGTTGCAATAGTTATAATTCTTTCCTATCAATAAAAGAGGGTAAATGCACACAGCTTGACGTTTTAAATAATAAGTGCTAGTAGTGAGAATTGAGACATTCGGAACGAATACCACAGACATCAAAAGTAGCACCTGTTATATCAAACATTGTGGATATCCGTGTAAAAATGAAATGGGTAACCGAATCTAATAGTTCAAAGATTAATATTGGAAACAAAGCAAACGGTACATGTTCATCAACAAAGAGTCATAGTGTTAAAGGAACATCAATCTTTTATCGAAATAGATATTCTCAGTGTAACTGACGTGATAGAAAGACAGCCAGGTACATGCGAGTTTTGTCAATTTCGATAGTCATGGTGTTAATACTAAGTTTGAAACATAACCCAAATACAATATTTCCATTTGTCCTATAATTTTTCTGCTTAAGTTTTTTTTATCAAGGGTAAGTATATAATCATTCATCTTTCTGTGCTTATACAACATTACATATACTCCTCAGTGATTATAAATGTGTTTACATTACATTAGACCTAAGAGATAAGAAAACAAAGCTAAAAAAAAACGGCTCTATTTGTTATAAACAACAATATTTTGAGTTGAAGTGTTTTCCTTTCATCAATGTTTTTCAAAGGTGTGCGTCATATGTTGGGAAAACTGGAAATCAACAGATAGTAGCAATTGAAGAACCCGGTTGTGCTACTGTAAGTATACACTTAAAGTAATATCCGTTATAAAACTATAAAATTACTAATTACAAACAGAACGCCATAAAAATTTCTCGGATATATATATTTATCTTAATCTATTAAATATCTTATTCTATTAAATCCGTAAATACCGTTATAACTTTTTTATTCACACCGATATTTTACTCTCCTTTACGGTGTTTCCTTTCCTGTTTATAGAACATGCTCGTCATGTATATATACTATACAAGTAACAGAAAAAACAACTTCATATTTCTTCAACGTATCAATATTCTGGTAAAAATGTGTTGTATTTTTGTGGTCTTTACCTTATAAGATATAAGAAGTTGAATAATTTGAAATATATTTCCTAGTCATTTTGTATTCTCTAAATTAAGCCGGATACTATCATTCACGAAGTCATGCACGCCTTGGGACAACAACATGAGCAATCGAGAAGTGACCGAGCGAAATACATAACGATACTGTGGAAAAATATAGCGAAAGATAACTATGTCAACTACGGCAAGGAGCTTACTGATGACCGTGTTTCACCGTATGATTACTTCTCTACGCTGCAGTATTCACTTGGGGTAAAGTTTATATTGTTTTATTATTGTAAGGATTGTGCAAAAATTAATAAATAATTACATATATTATGTCGTCCGCACGTACGCATGATATAGTATCTAGTGCAGAACTTTGCAATAGTATCAGTATCGCACATATTTTGTCATTTGGTGAAGATTTAAATTAAATTACTAATTAAAAATGCAACGAAAAACGATAGATAATCATTTAGAAAGACAACTGGACCCTCCGTTGAGTAGCCTCTCAAACTCACAATTGAGAGAGTGGTGATGATTTATGTGCCTGGATAATAAAAATGCATTTGTATATGGGTATATGGGTGTCCGCTAATCTCCGGTGTAACCTAAACAAGAATAAGATATTTTACGATGTAAGGTTTTATATAATTGATTGCAGAGACGTCAATTTAATGTTTACATATACAAGGCATATACAGTGAGTGTCCGTGCACTATTACAGGACACGTGTGGCACTTTGTATACAAAACATGTGTCTCAGTTATTGATACACGGACCGATAAGGAGCTATACTTATATTTTGAGGCCGTAGTCTTACCTATATAACATATATAAACCCTATCCCAAACTTATTCATGTTTTTTTTTTAATCTTTGAGCTACAATAAAAAGATCCTCACACACATAGGTGTGCTGTAGCAGATTTTGTACATTATTTTAATATCGTGCATAAATTGTTCTCGCACGTAATGGGGTTAATGTTGCTCCGCAGTCCGCGGCTCATTAGCGTGTTTATGTAAAAACACACCAAGTTGAAATGTCACTATTATATTACGTCATAAGAAACCGCGGCTGTTGAAAACACGTCAGAATAACATGGTTTTACTGATAGGAAGTTGACACAACTTAGTCTTTATATAAACAAGTATGTTAACAACAACATGCTACCCGTTAATTACTACCGAAACACAATTTATTTCACACTTATTTCTCGAATCCATGAATTTATGTCATCGAATCAGTAAACTGCATATTCTTAGTGTTATTCATATTACATACAGACAATTTGGTGTATAGATCTATAAAGCATGCGTTTATTTCTTCTCCAGAATGAAATGAAAATAGCTGACGCCCGTCTTGAGTTTCTGACCAGTGCTGCTAAGACACTCAGCCACTATGACGTAAAGGAGATAGTCAAAGCATACAAATGTGACGGTTAGTCATATCATTTAAATTGACCAACGTACGATTTAGTAGTGAATAGCATTCTTAATTAAGAATTCGGGAAAACAAAAAATATAAGTAAAAAATAAAACGAAAGTGATAATAATAACGCATTTCTTTAGTCATGTTAAAATCTGATACTAGACAACAATACTGTGGTCTAAACTGAAAGCAATTAAAAATCTGTTACCAAATATGCTCTAATGTGGATGTGTTTGACACTGTTTAATTCGTATGCTGGTTCCGTTGTTGAATACCTTTTTTTCTAATTGAGAACGTGACATTACTTACTTGGATTGACCAAAGTTTACATGGCGGGTGTTCTCGCTTAAGCAGAAGACGCTTACCCCTGGATTAATTATCCTTGTTTTCAGGAGTCTCCGTGGGAATCTTTCTTTTGTTGATATTTCGCACTACATTTATTGAATAAGAGTCTGCATTCCGATTATGTTGACATGTTGATATTTTCTTGTTAATTCTTGTATACGTATTATTTGTATTTCTGTAAAGTTAATTTTACTGTATCATTCATCTATCAGTAAGGCCACCAAATATGCAAGATATTAAGTCATCACATCATTAAAATGTCTGCAATAATTGAAATTTTAAAAATATTTCTCTCCCTTCTTCATTTCTGAAGGAACATGTGGGACTACAACATGTGATAACGGGGGATTCGCACGCAAAACCGTCAAGGCTTCGAAGGAATGTTCATGTCGTTGTCCCGATGGCTTGAAAGGAACATCATGTAATGAGAGAGAAGGCGGTAAGTATATTCTAGTTTATTTTAGTGAGAGATGATCTATCAGTAGGAATATAATCAAATTAGTTCATAGCTGTTCGCGGTATAAATTTCCATTAGCAGTCAGATCAATGTACAACCAATACGTGATCTAAATAATGCATGACTAATATTTCCTTGTCATGTAACCTACACCAGCTAAATGTTTGTAATATTAAATTCTGAAATATATCTAAATTACCTTTTATATGTAATCTAGATCATCAGCATTGGTACCATACATTAATAACAGAAAACAAGTTCTATGTGGATTACCTCCCCTAACTCTCTATCTTCGCCGTTCAACACTTATACTGTGATGATAATCCCCATTCGTATTGTTTTCAACTTCCGTTTCTGAAATAGGCCTCACTTACCTCTTAAAAGAACTGGTCGTTCGCCACTGATATATTATCTGAAACATTACTTATCAATATTATCTTTGTTAAACGCCTGTAACAAATATTGAAAATTCAACATTGAATTTCGTAATACTGATTTCCTATCGGAATAATTCACAAATGATATGATCCAGATATAAGTTTTTATTTTCTGTAAACCAATATGGTTTCTTTTCTATCTTGTAAATTCACGTAATCTGATTATATTTCTTGATTATCTCAGTTGTTGTTTCTGGACCTACAAAGCTCGAATTGATTTCGTTTTTGTCACTAGAACACATTATTTCTCCTCCCTAATCCCACATCCCCACCCACTTCATTACGTACTAAGTAAGAGTGTTGACACAACCAGAGCGAACTGGTGTTTTACGTTACATCTGGATGACGTAACAGATAAAGCTAAGTTCAATGCTTATTTAGCGATCGTTAACGGATGCATTAAGTATGGTGGACATGATATATTTTACTGATATATATTGATATCATTATTTTGATAGATGCAGACTGTGGAGAGATCATATCGTTAGCTAATGGACAATCTAAAACTTTCAAGGCACCTGGTTATGACTCAGGAACCTACTCCACTGGCAAGGAATGTATCTGGTTTGTTAAAGTAAGAACTATTCTACTTAATACTGAAACGTACTATATTCAAACCTCATTCGTTGCCAATGTGTCGTCAAAAAATTACATCTCCATTCACTTAAGGTGATTTTCATTCACAGGGAACAGGTACAAACGCAAGAATAAAGGTAGAGCTTGAAGAACTTGACATTGTTGCTTCAGAGACAACATGTCCACATTTCCTGTCCATGCGGTATTCCCTTGTAGGACAGCCTGGTGTTAAGTAAGTTTAAGACTTCTTTTCTTTTCATCCTTTTTTTTTTCATTTCATCGTTTTCTCTTCCGAATACCCAAGTCGGTTTGGTGCAGTCTAGTGACCATTCCTAAAATGATATACTTATGTTATGTTCAGTCATCATTTCAAAATGAATCATGATTTTAGCAAACGAATACATCACTTAATATTTGTTTGAATTTTCAGTCTGTGTAATAAAATCACATCTCCTAAGACTTACCTTAAGACTGTATCTGATGAAACCAACATGTTCCTATTAAAGTTTAGCAGTAGCAAAACTGCAGCCTCAAACACTGGGAAAAAGGGCTTTAAACTTAAGGTTTCTGCTTATCAATCTGGTAAGTATAAGTTGTATTTGTTGCTGGGTAATTGATAATTATTTTAAAATTTATTTTAGCTTGGTGTTTGTCATCACATTTTACATGGAGAACTAACATGATTAAAATATTCGTTGAAGACAATTATTAGTGATAGGTTGAGCCTAGGTTTGTTTTGGCTTTTGTTTATACAAGTTTTGTATTGAACTTTCGCGGGTTTTCTTGGTTTTTGTCTTTAGCATCACTCCATTTATGAACATTCCTTGTACATCAACTTCCTCCGACTTAAATACATGTTTTCCATTAGATTGATTAAGGTTTATTTTGAATTTGATACAATAAACAAACCGTTATACCATCTGACATAACATCAAGGTCTTCAATGTCCATAGCCTGCTTGTGCGATGACAAAAACGTATTAAGTATATATAAGGCAGCACTTCGATTTGTTGGTAAAATTCTGACTTTCTCCTGAAGTTTGTCTTCGGAATTATCAATTTTGACTTGGAAACAAGTGTAATATTCATATTGTGAAACTATTATTTCACAGGATGTACGCTGAATGCATGTAAGAATTACATTGCGTGCACAGACTTGGATAATGCTGACTATAAATGTACCTGTCAATCTGGTTTCTCTGGAAAAAATTGTGACAAAGTTACAGGTAAAAATTATTACAATGAGTTTGTGTTGTTTTGTTTATTATCCAACTTTTGCATTGTGCAAAAATACATTGATATCTGTCTATGAGTAAAGTATCTCGTGGAAAAAGTAGTCATCACTTCATTCATTTGCTATTGAAAAGAGATACATTCATTCTCTACTATTTACAGCGGATGCGGTTGTGACTTGCAATTTTGAAACGGACATTGGAGGGAAGTGTTGTATGAAGAATGACAAGTCTATAACAAATGCGAGGTGGTTTGAACAGGGGGTAAGATCGACCAGAAAGAACAGTATTATAGTGTTTCATTTGCAAATATATGTGGTCTATTTAAAAAATATAAAAAAGTGTATAAAAAAACAAACAAGAACCATAATTATGATAAAGATCGCGTGTAAAATTGAGAGCTTTACACTCAAGGAAATGAGTATGGCACTTTGAACATATGTTAAATTCTTCAATAAAATAAAGAGCCAATATAGCTCAGAAAATCTTACAAAATTGACTTTTTCTTGTAAGTGTCTGGAAAGAAATCTGATTCTACAACAAAATTAAGCGCGGATATAGTCAGAAAATCTGGATCTTCTATTTTTCTTCCAGATTCTTGCGACGTATATGCATTTTTATATCTTGCCATTCTGTCTTTCGTCTTCCGTTTTGTTTATATCACATAAATGCTTTTGGATAACCGTATTTTTACACAGAAAGGTGCGGTTGGTGAAGAACAAGTATACGCAAAAGAGGGGTCTGTGTTCGCAAGAGTTATTGGACGGACCTATGGAAGCGTGGCCATATTGCAAACTAAACTATCATTTGATAGTACGTTTCTTTTTATACCGCCGCTTAGAAGAATGCTTTGAATAATAAGCGAGAAAACTTTCTCCGATAAAAGCGTTAGATCTTAGTTCTAAGTTTGTATAAAAGTGTAAAAATGACTTCTAAGACACATGGATGTATTGGTCTCTTTGTGATCACTAGTACTTATACACTCTGCTGTTATAATGTTATGAATGTGAATACAAGGCAATGATACATTGTGTTTAACGCTGGCTGTATGAAAACATTCGTCCTCCATTTTGCTTGTTTTACATGTTTTGATTCCTTTGAATTTCTAGCCGGTGCTCGATGTTTACAATTTACCGCCATAGTAGAGAAAGCAAGGGAAGGAATTCAGCAGTCCATACTTGATGTGTACACTCTCTCTGGCAGTGTTGAGAATAAACTTACATCGTTAGTGGAAACTAAATCAAACAACTGGCAAGAATTCAAAATACCAATTTCGAACCTACAGGGAAAGCAGGTGAGATATACACATGGATTAGACTGCCTTTGTGAAAAATCTTTGTTTTCATTAACTTCCCCGTTTTAAGCAAGATTGTAAATAGCCAATGGTTTCGCCTAAAATGAGGCAAATTATCAGTCCCTAATTTGTGCGAATAATGTTAAAGAATGAATTCTTTTAAAACAATTAGCGAAGAAAATACAATAATAATAAAAATAATATATATATAAATGATTTTTGACAAAAGGAGAAAGACGTTACATTTTGCACTAGCGCTTTCACTGTAGTAGATCTTCAGGTGCATAGTAACTGTACATAATGGTGTGGCGTCACAACATGTTATCTGTTGATGACGTCATAATATAAAAGGGGCATAATTATATTTTGCAAACTTTACAACCAGACTTGAATATTAATGTTTAACCGCATTGTAAAGTTTGCAAAATATAATTATGCCCCTTTTATATTATGACGTCATCAACAGATAACATGTTGTGACGGGACACACCATTATGTACAGTTACTATGCACCTGAAGATCTAATACAGTGAAAGCGCTAGTGCAAAATGTAACGTCTTTCTTCTTTGTCAAAAATCATTTTTATTTATAATTTACTCGCATCTCGTCAAATCAAGTTTTTTCTATATGTATATGATAAAAATTTGCAATTGCAGGTAGTTTTTGCGGGAACAATTGGGGACACAATGCTTGCCATAGACAATATAATCATATCAAAGACATGTACCGGAGAAGGAGGTATGTGTTTCAAGATTATATATATCAATTCAATATATTGATATAGTGTTCAAATGACGACATTGTTTTTTTCTTTCTTTTTCATTTGTGTATGATTGCTGACGTAAAGGCGTTTCAATATGTGAAAAAAGAAAACAATATTACATCAAAACATAAACAATACAAATACCTATACGATACTGTTTGTATATACATGTATATATATATAACATATATCTATATATATTGATTTATACTTTTGGTTACAAAATACGACTTCATTTTTACAGCTAGTGTATGTGCCAATAAACCCTGCCAAAATGGTGGTGTCTGCACGGGTTCTGGTGCCTCTTTCAAGTGCCAATGCAAATCTGGTTTCGGTGGATCAATATGTCAGACTGTAGGTAAGAATATTTAGAAATCACACGGGAAAATATTCGAATCTATTTCGATGATCTATTATAAGATATTTGACGGCGCAACGTTTTGATTGTACATAGTTGATATATATCCGAAGCGCTTGAATAATCATAATCTGGTGTATTAAACAGGGTATATATTAATATATTTATATATATATATAAAGTATCAGAAATATTACCCAGTCAATAATTTATTTTGTTTAGTGCTTGAAGAACAAAATGATAAAACTTTCATTGTAACAGATATTACTGAACCATAAAATAAATAATCAATATTTGCTAATAAATATTAACTAATGATATTTTCGTAATAGCAGTAGTATCTTCTTTTACCTAGATGGAATTAAAAAATCAAATACACTTTATTTGCAAATGAAAATCATAGAAATCCCTGTTTGTGTTTTGCACATCTATAAATGTATAAAGTTTGCTGTTAAAGGTATTTTGATGCCGCTTCAATAATATTTATTTTCAAAAGAAATCGTACAATAACAGTTCATTAGAAATTTATTTCATTTGACAGTTAAACCATGTGATGCTAAACCATGTCAGAACAATGGTCAGTGTCTGAACAAAGCCACGGAATCATCCGCGTATACTTGTGTGTGTGTGGATGGATACAAGGGTACAAACTGCGAAACAATTGGTAAGTGATTTCATACCGATTAAGAAAAAATTCAATCGATGCAATGCATAAGATTTACGGGAAATCATCGAGGAATAATTAATTTGTTATTTATCTTCATCGTCTAGATGTCAAAAATTAGTGACTGTTTCTAACTTAGGTGTATGGCATATTTCCAACATATACACTCATCCTAAAATGCAAAATAATGTAAATGTAAAATTATCTTATAAATAGTACCTTACTTGATGCTTTTATCGAAGCACCGTGGCTTTCAGGGTTCGACTCAAAACTGCTTCCTTAATGATTTTCGCGATGACGTTTCCTTATAACATTAAGCTTATAAAAATGACGACACAGAAGTGCCGATTACTGAATTTTTAAATGTAAATTTGTATCATATTGATGTATATGTGTATACGATTATTATCTCTCTCGACTTATCCTCGTATCTGTTGATACTTGTCGCATATGATCAAAATACAAAGTCACACTAGCCGTTATTTTTATTTCATTCTTTTCCAAAACTGTTACTTGGTGCTTTAAACGAATTTTGCTGCTTTGACGTTTGATGTGTTATCTGTTATACGAGTTTGTACTTAAATCAAAAATGAAATTCAAATTAAAACGATATATGTTTTGAAATAATTTTGATTTTACTGTGAAGTGATATGGTTGCTTCAAGATATTTTAATTATGATGCATAAGATAATTAACAGAAGTTCGTATAAGCTGAATTATAGTATAAATATTCGATTTCTTCTTCAACATTTTTGTTTGTATGTTTACGATATTCGATAATTAATGCAACACAATTATCAAACTACTTTATATCGCATGCCATTTTATGTTGCTTTGATTTATTGGCGTTGGTTAAACTAAGAACTGAATAATCGATCCATATTAAAATAAAGACACATATCCTGTTTTCATTCCATTATCCTATGCGGCATATACATGATAGCAAATGATAAATATGGCTTTCAGATACTTCATGTAAAAGTGGTCAATGGAAGTGCGCTGATGGACAATGTATAGCTGAGGAGTTCCGTTGTGATTGGCGTGTCACCCACTGCAATGATAAATCAGATGAGAAAGGATGCAGTAAGTTCTTGAAAAAAAAGGTTTACATAACTATCAATCAAGCTTTCTTGCAATAAAATTAAACGCCAATAAACAGCAGACCAAAATCGAACTAAATATATAAAGTAGTAAATTAAAATTCTGTGTTAATGGAAAAACTCGAAAGGTTAGTTTTTCTAAGACAATTTCTCTTAAACCATCAACAATAAGAGGTCACCAGACCTAGACCAGAATGTTTCTTCTGAATGTTCCATATTAAAGGGAAATTCTGTTGACATGCACACCGCTGAAGACTCATGACGTCGAGTTGTGGAGCACATGATTTTGATGTTAATATCAGAAGTATTTTGTTTAATTCGTGGATAAATATTGAAGCAATATTGCTGTTTAACTAAAGCAGATAATAATACGTTCAATTTGCTTCATATCGTCTTATCCCGGAACAGGTTTGTTAAGATAGCGAGAATGCAACCAATTTTGATTGTTGTAAGAAGCGTACAAGACAGAAATCTAAATGTTGTGCGACAGAATGTTTAAAACAGGTGTCTGTCGTTCTTATGACACGACACCACTCTCGTGTGTTATTTGAGACGGATAAGGAAAAATCCATATAAGGAAATAACATAGTGATGTTAGTTTGGTCATCACTTCATTCGTTTTGAACTTTCTTGAGGGACGCATGAAAAAGACAAAACATAAATGAAGGGCCAAACATTTGGTCGCTTCATGGAAAAACATTCGGTTTACACGTCTGATGAGACGCTCCCTTAACGATCTTCAATCATAGTTATACACGTCACGTTTGTTTTTGTAACCCGACTGTCACCTCCTTAAACGTCGATTTAAAAAAATCAACGCTGCAACTCAACTATCAATTAACAACGACACAGATTTTTTAACAACCGTTCAAAAATTTCGTCATAATTGATATGATCAAAATACTGATCCCAATAATCGTTCGCTCTTCGCGTAAGGTCTGATGACATCACATAAGGATTAAAGTTATAATAACCTTTTAACCCTCTATATTTCGCACAAGACGAATGGTCTGATTATTTTATCTGAAACTAGTCATGTCGTCAGTAAAAATGCAGATCTTTATTCTTGACACGTTACTCTCCATTTGAACGCGAGAAAAGAGATCAACATTCTGCATTTCAATCAGATTGACTTACATAAAGAACATACGTCACATCTTGTGAAGTTATTATTATTATAATCATTGCATTCTTAACGGCCCGTCAACACAGTAAAGGTCATTAGGGCCATCAACGGTAAAACACGTAACGATCCAAAAGGAAATAACATTAAACTAACCAAAAGGTAAAAGACAAATGCTAAAAATCTTAAATGGGTATATTAACAAAAAGATTGAAATGGTATGTCATAGTCTATTATGGGACGTAAAGAAATTATGTTTGTTTAATTCACAGGGACAGGAGATCTTATTTATCATTACATAATAACTTAATTAAATATTAAATTCCATTTTATGCTATATTTCAGCCGATCATTGTCTATCAAAACCGTGTCAAAATGGTGGACAGTGCCAAAGTGAAAAGTTCACGTTTACTTGTAAATGTGCCAATGGATTTACAGGCAAGACATGCGCCGAAACAGGTAAGTCTGAATAATATTAAGATAGTACCCACATTTTCAAGAACAGATATTTGTTTTCGATGTCTGGACAATATTGAAAATAAATGTTTTAATTATCGAGCTTCAATTTCAAGGTGTATATGTTAATAATTTATTAATAAGTAATTTATTATTTAAATGATGACAAACTATAAATGTTTTCAGATCAATAACGTCGTGTGGATTGAAATCTAACGTTTTAAAGTAGTGGTATTATCGCTATGTGATATTTTGTATTCAGTGACCTGCACATCCTCACAGTTTAAGTGTTCTAATGGCGAGAAATGTATTCCTGCCGACTATCGCTGTGATCAAATAGAGGACTGTACAGATAAAAGTGACGAGTATAACTGCGGTAGGATATGTGTTTGTACTGAGTCTAGCTGTATTTTGACATTAGTGTGGGATCAATGGCGAATAAATAAACAATCTGTTTTATAAGTTTTGTCAAAAGTCAAGTTATATTGTTTCAATAATACTGCCTATGGTTGAATTGATTTGAATTACGGATATAACAAGCTTAAGAGTTAAGTATCTTTTTAATCCACCAAAACCTGTAATATCTATTATTACCGAAAATGGTTAAAATAAACTGTTTAGAATTAGTAAAGTAATCATAGAATCGTCAGTAAATGTTTATATCTCATGAAATCATTGATACATGTTTACCTTTAAGTACAGATAACGTTGAAATTCGATGAGATTCTAATTTTACAAGTACGTGTTTTTACCGACAGGAACTGCGTGTAATGCAGCCATTCATTTTAAATGTAAAAACGGGCAGTGTATCAATGAAGCATTTAGATGTGACGATGTTGTAGACTGTGTTGATAACAGCGATGAGGAAGGATGTCGTAAGTATCATCAGGTGAAAGTAATCAAACAACAATAAAAGCTTATAAAGTATTACTCCTGTTTACACGGAGGGTATCGCGCTAGGGTCTGACTTATCAAGACATAAGTACTTCTACGGGAAAACACGTGATCTTCATTATTTTAATAAAGGTTTAGGGATTCGGACCCCGATTAACTGAAGATTATCCCTAAGATTGTTATATTACCGATACACTATAAAACAACCAATATATTTACGGCCACTGAATATTCGCAAAATTTAATTAGACAAACTAGGTTATTGGACGCATACACATCAATTTGAAGAATACTTACAGTATTTCTTACGAAATAGTGATAAGAACTTTTAACAATCAAAATCAGTTCATAATTTGAGACCGTGGAGAACTAACTATTAACTACCTTCAGTCGATATCATATATGTTTGCCAATTTACAAATTTATTCACTGATCAATTGACCCATTGGAAACATATAGGTTTAGTTTTAGAACTTTTCTTCTAGTAGCTGTCAATAAATAGCGATAACAAACTTTTACAAGCTACAAACGGTTACTTTTCCAGAGCAACTAGTCTTATTTTCCTTGTACTTTTTCTGTCAGTATAAAACATGGTACTCCAGTTCCTTCCGAGCCAACAAGAGTAATTAATATAAGTTGGAGAAACTTGCTTCACATTTTTTTGTAAAATAAATAAAGTTTGTTATACAAGTTATATAAGTATACAAAAACAGGCAGACGAAAACCTAAATACGATGTCTTCTACATATCTCTCGGGTACTTCTTTTATAGAAAGAGAAATTGTGAGAAAAAGAATTGTATATTGGCATATTGTCCCAGGAAAACGGGAGGACAATTCAAATAAACGTCCATGTAACGATAGAGAAAAAATCCAAATAGTATAATCGTCTTTATTAATGAGTGTTGTATTCACAATTTCCTTCACCATTCAGGATATTGAAAATGCTTTTGGTAAAATCAGTTTAACGTTCCAAAAAGTCTGAAAAAATAATCCTTTCCACTCTTTTCTATGATACAATGAAGAATAATAAATAAGAATTTTTATTTAAAACAGTAAACGAGACTATGACAAATGCGAATCCAAACACATTAGTTTGTAGACTTGCGATCAAATAGATTTTTTAATTTTTTTTTCAAATTGCAGCAGTATGTTTTAATAGTTATAAATGCGATTATTTAAATATTGGTAAAAATTGGATAGTTCGAAATTTTCAAACACGTTTTTTCATATTTTATTTGTAACAGCTCAGCGCAGATCTAACACGGGAAAAACCAAACCCTCGAAATATCTGGAAAGAACACTCAAGGAAAATGGAATGTCTGTTAAATCAACTCTAGGAGACCTCCTTACAGAACTGAGGAATCTGAAGCTGTCAGAGTCACCTGTACGGGAGGGGAAGACCAGAAAGAAGCGTGGAATCAGAACGGTTGCTTAGACGTTAAATGCCCAAAGATGACAAAATGGTATGCAAGATAGCTCTGCATATGAACTACTTATTCTGTTAGTAGCAAATGAAACACTGTGATTTTGAAATGTACAAAATATGATTGACAAATTGTTAATGCTGCATGTAGTTTCATAAACCTATGTAAAATTCTCTCTTAGATTAAAGAAAACATTACAAGTACCGCCTTAAATTCATGAAATAGACGATGATTTTCCTCTCACAATATTTTGTTATTTATAAAAATGTACCAATATATTTTTGTCATGTTTCAGGTATTTTCAGTTTACGAGTAAGGATGACGAAAACCTTTTATATTTAGTTATTTTTTTACATAAAATTATAATCGGATATGTATGTAATCCAACATTAACAACAATAATTACTTTAATATAAACGAATTTCATTTGTTTAAACAATTACTACTAATACTTTTTCCTAAATATTTTATGCAGCAAGAATATTGTTTGTGAGATTAACTTAACTTAACGTTAAGAACGCGCCATATTTAGATTTCAAGCGTTTTGGTCTGTGAAATGTTTTCCTCGGCAAATATGTCGTGTGATATGTATGCTTATCAATATATATGTATATGTGCTTCCTATCCTCACTTGTGTTGGTTCTTTACGACGAGAGTACGCACTTGGTTGATGAAAGATTTATGTAGCTACAATAGTGATGAAATGAGTTGGGTGATTTCGTCTATGTTAACGTAATATATATAAATGGTTCAGCGGAAATTCCATTTTCCCTTGAGCTTGTATTTATGACCGGTGTACACTGGCCGCGGAAGCTGAAAATGTTTAGGCATCTTAGAGTATACTTAATATCATAAGTAGTAAACATGTCTCTGTATTGAACTATCAATGTCTAGTAATATCACACATGTACTCTTATAAATGTACAAGCTGTGCATAGTCTCCTGTTTCAGATTAAAATTTCACCAATCAATGCTGATGATTTGTTTTTGTGATTCTAAATTTAATCAACTATCGTGAAAATCCTTATTCTAATTCCCATTGTTGTCTCCTAAGTGCTTTTTATCAAAGTATATCGAAGCTATACTGTATATAAACAAGTTTGATTTAGACATTTGAAGAAAATGTACTTTTTCTAAATTTGTCAAAATATTCTTCACCATAAGATTGTGACAGTCACTCAAGTACTATGTTATTATAAAAAAGACATACTGACAGTTAGAAAGAATGATATACGTACAAACAATATGTTTTTATTAGTCAGATAAAACTTGGTTGAGGTAAGTAACATTGTACCATGACTCTCTATATGACGTAAAACAACGATAAACCAAATCAAACCAAAGTTTTGATCCAGCCACATTCCCGTATCATCAGTAAAATAGGATTCTCGCCCAAGTTAAAGTTTAGATCTTTCTGTTGGAAACACTCATTGAACGAATGACTGCGATTAGGTCGAAAGAAATTGTTTTATGAATTAAGACATTTATATCGAGCTAAATATTTACGAATCGTGGCCGGTGGGTTTTCTTTCATGTATTACACAGTTAATTAGTTCATTGTTTCATTAATATTCATTATTCATTTCAATACCTCCGCTAGGAATCGAACCCAGGACCCCTGGTTTACTAGTCTGACGTTCAACCAACTGAAGAGAAGTTCTCTCTAGCCGAGTGGTATATTGCGGTTAGTCGTTTACCAGGATTAAATATATGTAAGAATTACAATGCTTATTTTCCCATTCAAATTTGACGAATTTTCAGTGCGGAACTATAGCTCGTGAAATGCTTTATTATCAACAACATATATACTAACGCATACAAAAGACGTCTCTTCCATATAGTCTTCGCTGTTGTTTTCAATTTGTCTTTAACGCTGCCAGGCCCGTGTTGGAAGAAATCTTCCTTGCCATACGCCTCACTGAGTAAGATATCCAAATTGGCATGGGGCGTTTATTCTCTGTTGGGATTGCGAGGATATGAAGCAATAATAAGGTCATTGTTTAAGATACATATTTAAGCAACTGTGACTTTTCATTCCCTATGTAATCTGCATACCATCAATTATGAAATTTTCTGAGGTATGGGGATAGTCTTCTTCAAAGACCTGAATTTTACATTTACAATAACTTTGTTCTTCGGTCGCCTTCTAGGCCCTTGGCACCAATTGCGAGTCCTTGATGGACAAAATATCTGTATGGGACAGTCTGATGAATTATTTTGTCAACTGTACCTTATCAAAGCTTGTATTAGTTGGTGCTAATCACTTATGTGCCTTATGTACAAAATTAGACATTTATTATCTTTCATCGCTGATAAAAAATCATAATAGACTATATATATGAAACCAATGTATTCAAAATCTTCAAGCTATAGTTTACAATGACATGACTATTTTGCTGCCTTGAAATATTTACTGCGATGTTCTGTTAGCATAAAAGCTATAACAACTGTTTAAATATCTCAGCTGTGTGCTAGAAGGGAAATAACTCGAATCTGCTTAAGAACACAGAAAATTGACTTACCAGCAGTTTGAGTAAATAAAAAAACAGTAGTTGGAACCTATTACAATAATTTATGTTTCCCTTAAAATACATCGGTCTCTCGGAATCTATTTGCCTTTACTAGTGTGGTTGAAAGAATCGCCTCAAAATTAGTAAAACATGTTACAATATGAATAGACGATCTTGTACACAATTTTTGTGTAATAGGGTAAAACATGTACAAAATAAACAATTACACCATTAGATTGATATGTTGATCCAGACAAGGGCATCAGAGAGATCTCGATTTACCTTTAACTGTCGTGACTGTACAATAAGTGTGTCATTTACATGTATACGACAGCCACAGGTAGCATGTTCGGTAGTACTACAAACAGAACAATGGATGACATTACAAACATGTTTTCAATGTAACTTTATGCATCTACATGTACAGAATGTGGTAGGTATAGTAAAGTTCAGACAGAGAATTGTACATAGCTCGCACGGATATCCTACACACGGAGAACAACCCTCCTGCATTATTGCATTCTTAACGGCACATAAAAGGTCATTAGGGCAATCAGCCGGTAAAACACACAGCGATTCAAAAGGAAACAACATTAAACAAACAAAACAACAAAAGACAAATGTCAAAAATCTTAAATGGGTATATCAACACAAAAGATTAAAATGGTATGTCATAGTCTATTATATAGACCAAAACCTTTCAGGTAATATAGAATTTTACATACCTCAACAGTTTCAAAAAGGTTTGTAGGCATGTAATTTTACAATATAAACATTCCCGAGTAGACAGAAGGTCAATGCAATCCAATAAACAATGTTTAACAGTGAATGGCTCATTACATCCTATACACCTATTCGCCTTTCAACATACATGAACGTGTGAGGTATGTATGACCCCTCCGAAGACGGGCAAGGACAAATTCGTTTCGTTTGTTGTCGCTATTGCCTGGAGACTATTCACCGATAACAGGTTTGTTATTGGTATAGGTATTCCATTCAGCCTGCCACTGAGCTTTTAAATTTTGTTTTTTACATCGGTAAAATTAAGTAAAAAACCATGTACTAGTAACACATCAAATGAAAATATTTCTAGATACATCTACATGTTATGACATTAATACTAACACGGTTTTTGACAGAACCCTATGGCTGTAAGCCGGTCATCAGATTCAAGAATAGAGCCATAAGGCCTTATTTCTAATGTATTAATGAGGGGTATATTTACTTATTTTTTTCAAATAAATCAATTACTTAAGCATAACATTATAATGGTTCAGTACCGACAACTTCGGATGAATCTGCCGTCACGATCCGTTGACGTCGCCTTTCCACGATGTATGCTGTATGAATTTACTTATAGTACGGAGGAACATTTAAAGCTTTTTCAAATGCCTCGGCCTACATCCTGACCCGAATCTTTCGACAATTGACTGGAAGTGGGCGGAGTCATCGTCATCAATGGCTGATAGATGCATTTTGGTTGCCTTATAACATATGAGGAACCATTTTGGACAAAACTGTGCAGATCTTAGATTTTATGAATTCCTTTTTTTAATCTCGGGTATATTTTGTCGTTTCAACACTCGAGTTCGTCTCATGTTGAAACCTATATACAAGATAGAAACTATTGTATATGTGGAAAATTCAGTATACTGTGTCTTAAATGATACTTCCATTATGTTTTCCAGCAGTATCGGATAAGGTATCTTGGGAATGAGAATTGCTTGTGAATCCATATTGTATTTAAGATCTATTTAAGAAAACACCAAGAAAATACCAACATGTTAACATAATCAAAATAAAAACTCAACTTCAACAAACCTAGGGCAAAATATGAACAAAGGAACGATTAACAGGGGAACTCCGAAGAATAAGACCAGGTGTTGCGGAAGAAGTCTGCGTCATAGAGGACACCCGTCATGTAAACATTGGTCAATCCAAGTTAGTAATATCAGACTTAACCCACTCAGACAGTGAATCCAACGCAGCAGGTTATTGTTTCATCCATTCTTTCGCGTAGTTTTGGACGAAATTCATAAGGATTTTGAAATCATCATATTCCAATAATCAGACGGAGTTTCCCGATATTTAGGAATTTTCAAGAAAAGCTCTCGCAGCTTAACATTTTGACTAATGCTTAAATGACAAGGTGCTGTGAGCTGTTGAATAACGAGTGGTGTGTATGAATATCGGGTTTAAATCATTATGTTGACATCCGGACCCAGAGTGATAGGTAAAAACTTGTGTATTGCTCTGGAATCTTACGATAACTAAGTGTTAAAAGATGGGTTAAGGCGAGGTAGTTTCCTAATAGCTAACCGGAATTCTCGGAAATGTACGTAATAATTCGAAAGCAACATTGTGTGAAAGTTCAGAGTGCATCATCGCTTAAATTGTCATTCAAGCTAGGAATCGTTGAAGAAGTTCAAATATCTAATAGTGCAAGTAGATTGCACACAATCCTACTGTCGGCCAGGTGTAAGAAATCACAGTCAACTTGA